AAGATTCCATACAATAGTATGGGTCGCACCATCTCCCGATATATCAATTGCAGTACCTGGGGTGATAGTCCCCATCTGGTGTCATTTCTGTCCAGGATAACTTCCAAGTATTTAGCATTATTGCTAAAAGTAAAACCCACCCCGTTTATCGTTGGCACAGTAAGTTTCGGTATTTTGTACTTTCGTATGAAAGGTACAAGCTCAGTTTTAAAGGGATTTACCCCTCAGCCGCTAGAGGATGCCCTTCCTCTGCAGATGACCGTCACATCGTCCGCATACGCTATGACGTCGTAACCATCTGCCGCCATTCGCTGTAACAGCTGATTTACTACTAACAGCCAGAGTAGCGGGGATAAGACCCCACCTTGTGGGGGTGGAAAGACCCCCGAGTTTGCCACCCTGCTAGTGAACAGTTGGCCGATAAGGTCAATCAGAGATCCTTCCACTTAAAGCTCTTCCGTAGGTCGTATGATCGCTTATGGTAAAATATTGCTGAAAGCGCCCCCAATGTCTAGGAAGGCTACTAGGGCGTATTCCTTAGTAAAGAGCGAATTTTCTATTTTGGACACAAGAGCGTGGAGTCATGCTGGGAATTTGATAGCAGTGTCGGGTTAATGGTTTCTTTAAGATAAGCTTCTAGTAGTCTCTCAAGTGTTTTAAGCAAAAAAGGGGACACACTGATTGGCCTAAAGTCCTTCGGTTTAACATGCGATATTTTCCGAGCTTTGAGAATGAACACCACCTTTATCTCCCTCCAGCTGATTGGGATGAGGTTGACATTCAGGCAGCCCCTAAACATTACCTGAAGCCACGACATTATTTGCTTTAAAGAGAGTTGGAGTTGGGCAGGTATAATACCGTCCGGTCCAGGGGATTTATAGGGCTTAAAATATTTAATGGCTTAAGTTATGCGTTTTTCAGTGACTATTCTATCTATCAGATACCTTGGAACTGTACGTGGAGAAAGAGGTTATATGTTACTGGGACAATCAGTGCACCCCAGAAAATAGGTGCTTGTTAGTAGGTCCAGTGACTCGTAGTCCATGAAGTGCGGTTGGCCTTCCTAATAGCCGTTTTGTACACGGCAAGTTCTCGTTTATATTTAGACCAGCTAGATTCTGTGTTTTCGAATCTGGCTTTGTTAAATTGCTGCCTGCTATTGATTCTTAGTGTATCTAGATCAGGGGCCCACCAAGGGGCTTACGACCTTCCCTGAGGGCAATCTTTGGACAGGCCATGTTGAGCGCATCGACGCATGATTAAGTAAAATTAGTGACCATGTTATCAAGGTCCTCCCCAGTATCATGTTCCATAACCGGTGACGGGGGGAAATTTTTGGATAGCAGTCTGAGGTAATACCCCAATTGGTGGTTTTAGGATTAATAATCTTAACGGGAGCCGGTACCCTAGCTTGAATTGGATGAGTCGATAATCCGAGAAAGAGTGATCTCTCAAGATTTTCCATGTTAGTATCCTATCACTGAGAAGGTCAGACGCCAGTGTTACGTCTAACACATCGATTCGATTCTTGGTTATGAAGGTGAGGTCGTTCCCTATGGTACATATTAGTAGATTAGTACTTATTATGTAGTCATATAGAGACTCACCCCTATCGTTGATATCAGTGCTACCCCATAGGGTATGGTGAGCGTTGGCGTCCCCTCCAAGTATTACGCATAGTCTTTTTCGTCTACTGTCATGAACTAGGGATTTCAGCAGTGGTGGTGGTGGAGTGCCTTGGTGATCGTGGGGCCTAATAATGACGCAATTCTTATCTCGGCTTCTCCCATTTGTCTTTGTCGTTGGTATTTAGACTGACTGATGTTATGTCAGCAACGCTGTATTGCGAGAGTAAGATAGCATTGACTTGTTTCTTTGCTAGGATACATGACCGCTGCTTACCACAACTAACAAGATAAGCTGTGATAAGCCAAGACCCCGGATAGTATTATTACTTACCCATGATTTCTGTATTAGGACAATGTCAACTTCGCCTGTTACTAGACGAAGCTGTAAGGCAGCGCTTGCTGTCTTACTATGGTGCAGGTTGATTTTGACGACCTGCACCATGGAAACGTCCTTCGCTCTCCTCCGTAAGCGTCGCATGCGCTTCCTCGTTGGCGTCATCGAGGAGCTCATGCTCAGTATAGAGCCGACCTAGCGTCGCCCGGTAGTCCGAATCGGTTGAGATGTCATCGTGCAGATTCGCATTGGGGTTATCCACGTCGATGTTCATCTCTTCCTAGCTTCCGGTTTATTGGTGTCACTGTTCTCCGCCAGTTTGCAGATCCGAAATGGTCTTTGTATGCATTGAGACTAATGTGACTGAAGCCAAAGTTGACCGGTCCTTCGTCTCTGCTGCGTTGCTCAAGGCAGTCGTTGTTTAACAACATTCCGACTTGCATAGTGCCTTTATTTGTGGCTTCGACACAGATGACCCTCCAGCCTTGTGTATCCAGGTTTGGATTACAAAGTTGGAGAATTTTCAGCACGTCCGCCGGCGCAGTCGGGTTTCCCGGTATCCACGCGCGTGCTCTAGGGCGGGAGGATATATCCTTGGAATCGACCACTTCCAACTTGGCTCCCGGATACGCCTCTCCTACCTTCTCGATCGCCATTTTATATAATGAAACTGACCGCTCGTCTTCGCACGCGATCCGTTTCACATAGCCCTGGAACCACCCCGCATCAGTGCAGCGGGGGAGAGGGCCTGGATTCGCCAATAAGACTTGCAATGTGACCATGGTGAGTTCCGCTAGAACCTATCGCCACTGATGTTTGGGGATCCTGCCGTCCTCATTGTTGCGGTCGATGACTCCAATGACTTTGCGTCCTTTGGCCACCTTCGCAAACGATCGCAACCACGAATTCCCCTAGGTCTTTTATTTTTTCGACCCCGTATTTGAGTCATCCTCCGTTGATCGCTTTCGCTTGGCTGGCTGGTTGATTTCGTAATTAAGTGTAAAAGTAGGTAGCACCCGCCTTGCCCATTTAACAACCTCGCGGAATTTGGAGGGCGTTTCCTCTAATGCCTGTCTTGCCTCAATAGGCTCATCATGCCAGAAGCCATGCCTAAGAATGCCTAAGAATGCGGGCTGCCGTGCGTCGTTCGTTGGAACCGATTTTTTTCGGGTCTGGCCGTGGCTGATTAGCCGACCTATTCTTCACCGGTTACCCTTTGGTTGTAACGACGCACAGCTGCCAGCTACGCAACGCGTCGTCACGATGCCGATGAGTAGTTTTAAGTAGGTGTAAGTAGTTGTAAGTTGAAGAGAGTTTTAAGGTAGTTCTGTTGGAGATGCCGATGAGTAGTTTTAAGTAGGTGTAAGTAGTTGTAAGTTGAAGAGAGTTTTAAGGTAGTTCTGTTGGAGAGGCAAACGAACGCGCATTGAAGCGCACCCTTCTATTTGATTTGGAGAAATAAAACACAAAGCATCATATTTCAGTGGTAGCTGCGGGCTCACTTTATTTCTGGGGAACCAAACCAAGAATTTTGTAGCGACTCTGGCCGACGAGTATACCCGGGCCAGAGCAACGTTACAAGTGGCGCCCGAGCAGGGACTGTGAAGTTACAGGTGGCGTCGACAGGAGGCCAAACGCGAGGGGTGGCAGCGCTGCCACCCAGCTGCTACACATCTGCATTTCGATTATGGCGCGATGCTAACAAAATTTGAAAACACCATCAATCGGGCCGTTCGACCCTTTGGGGAAAGGGGGAGGAGTAACGACGCACAGCTGCCAGCTACGCAACGCGTCGTCACGATGCCGATGAGTAGTTTTAAGTAGGTGTAAGTAATTGTAAGTTGAAGAGAGTTTTGAGTTAGTTCTGTTGGAGAGGCAATCGAACGCGCATTGAAGCGCACCCTCCTATTTGATTTGGAGAAATAAAACACAAAGCATCATAATTGAGTGGTAACTGCGGGCTCGCTTTATTTCTGGGGAACCAAACCAAGAATTTTGCAGCGACTCTGGCCGACGAGTATACCCGGGCCAGAGCAACGTTACATGGTTTATCCTTGCCGGTCCGCCGTGATCCAGCCCTCACCTCTAACAATGACCAGATACCTTTGCCAGACATCGCAGCTATTGAGGAGGTGTGGCCGTGGTACCTGACCTTAGCTGGACACCGTTTACCGACAACGCACGGGACAATTGTAGTGCCATTTCCAGTCGGCACCCTCTGGGAGGGTTCAGCTGGAAGTTTTTTGCCAACTAACATTATACTTTCTAAACCCTTTTATAATAGCAAATATCACTTCTCTCCGTATTATTTTATACTTCTTACATTTGAATTCACCAAACTGTAATTTAAACTCTAATGCATCAGTACGAAAATACCAATAAACAGTTTTTAACCAACTCTTGAAGAAGAACCACTGTCTATCGCGTACAAGTTCTTGGTTAGCTGTCAATTGCATTTCAGTTTGTGTTTGAACTAATTCGCACACCGCTCAGATCTGAAGTTTCATGTTGGCAAGGAGAACGCTCCTTGACACAACAAAACAGACAGCGCCTAACAATTACATATATGTGCATAGATCTACTTTCAAACAATTTATTTTCCACTACTTAAATCTAAACTTCAAACATTCTTAATAGCTACTTAAATTTAGTTTCTTATTTGAGATGGTACGTCTTGCGGCACTACGATTCATGGATTCACATTCAGTTCCCCTCAAAACTACGTCTTAACCAAGCAACGCTTCCATTTCCTTCCCTTACCTTTACCCCTGCCTTCTCTCGCATTAAATCGTTAATAAAACCTTTAGCGGAATATCTTACTTGGGTTTTCAACGGGTGGTCCGGACTGTGCTCAAAGTCGAGAACATTAGTTGGTGGCCTTATACTAGCTTTACTGAGAAAGATGTAGCAAAGTAAATTGAAAATTGAGAACAATAAAAATTTTCACCAAAACCGAAGCAGGTATTTATTCTGTTCCAAAATATAGATAATCATTTTTGTTTAAATTTACTATATATTTGTATTTTTTTCTATTTCAGTTAATTATTGGAAACTTTGGCCTTAGCTACGAACAGGCAAAAACGCAATTCGCTATTTGGGCTATTTTAGCTGCTCCACTTTTGATGTCCGTAGACTTGAGAACTATACGACCAGAGTTTAAAGCAATTTTGCAAAATAGAAAAGTTATTTCTGTGGATCAAGATCCATTAGGAGTACAGGGTCGACGGATATACAAACACAAAGGAATTGAAATTTGGTCAAAGCCTTTAAGTCCAATATATCATCATTTTTACTCGTATGCAATTGCTTTTATAAATAGACGGACAGATGGTACACCATCAGATGTAGCGGTGACGTTAAAAGAGCTGGGTCTTGCTAGCTTAAACGGATATAGAGTTGAGGTGAGTATAGCCCAATAAAAAATCTAGAACAAATGAGAGCGAATATTGTATATAATTTTGTATTTAATATGTTAAGTTTAATCGAGCGGGCACAACTTTTAAATGCATAACAAGTCCAATAAAAACAAGTGAGGAAGCTAAAGCTGGGTCCCGACTTTGAAATACTTTGTACATAAGTTTAAGGTAATTAGAGAAATTCAAACAAGAGAGAACGAGGGAATTTTTTTATTTTCCTTTTTTACGCTTCGGGTAAATGCTATAAAAATTAAGAAAATTAAAAAAAAAATTTGCTCGTTTTTATCTCTGTCGGTATTCGAACTCAGGGTATATAATTGCATATTTACATAGCAATTGCATCTATGTGAGTGTATGCATGTCTATTCGTGTATGTGTGATCATCTTTGCAGTCAACCAAAGCACCAACATCAACAAAAGCTGTGGGCAGTACGTGAACAGCAAATATATTTAAATATAACAAAATATAACAATTATAGTCCCTGAGATCCAGGTGTTCATACAGACGGACGGACGGACAGACAGACATAGATCGACTCGTCTTGTTATGCTGATCAAGAATACATCTACTTTGCATTTTCACAAAGACAAATTACTTGTATACCATGTGTTCTCGAAAGCAGAGCCTCGTATCGAGCATCATTACGAGGTATTTTAGTGCGCGCTTCGACTCCACCGTTGTGCTGCCGACAGTTATGCGCGCAGTTTCAACCGTTTTCCGGCTACTGACCAGGACCGCCGCCGTTTTTTTTGGGAGCCAGCATCAGCCCAGCAGCGCTGACCCAGTTTGGGACTACACCAATCGCTGCATTGCAGGTCGTCTCAACGTCTCGCAGCTCCTAGCTACTGTAACTAGCGCCACGTCGTCTGACAATCCAATAATATGGACCACCTTGGTAGACGCAGCCGCAGGACGCCATCGTACATCACATTCCACAGGAGTTGCCCCAGCACGGAGCCTTGGGGCATGCCCCGGGATATGTGATACGTGCGTGTTCCCTCGTCGATGCCATAGCGCAGCGTTGTCCCGTCAAAATAGCTCTGCACTATTACGAAAAGGTACGGCGGGATGGAGAAATTCTTCAAGGCCATCAGGATCCGGCCCCATTCAGCTGAATTAGGCGAGTAGGCAGTATTTTTTGTTGCCTCCCTTCCAGCGTCACTGGCTATGTTGACACCTGATTGATGGCATCTACCGTGGATCGAGCCTTGCGGAAGCCGAATTGGTTGGGTGAAAGTCCTCCGGACCTTTCCAGCGCCACATTTAATCTGTCACTAATGAGCTTCTCCAATATCTTGCCCATGGTGTCCAAGAGACAGATTGGCCTGTAGGACGATGCATCCTGATGAGGCTTGTGTAGGAGGATAAGCCTTTGCGTCTGCCATTTGTCTGGAAATACACCTTCGCGAATGCATTGATTGTACAAATCCACGAATGCTGATGGGTAGAACTCTGTTTGGGATAAATCAGGGCCGGGCGGTGTAGTCGGCTTAAGTCTACGAGCGGCTGCTGACAGCTCCTCGATCGTCACCATGTCAATCGTAGGCTGCCCAAGTCAAGCAGGAATTCACTTGGCACTACGGATTGACCGCGTGGGAATAGCACCTCGACTATGCGGTCTAGGGACTGTGCGTCCGTCGGTACTGAGGATGCATTCTGGCCCAGACGCTTAAACAGAATCTGGTAGGCTTTGCCCCATGGGTCATGCTGGGCAGAGTCACACAACTCCAAGAAGCAGCGCTTCTTGCTGTCTTTTATAAATCTCTTTAGGGCCCTCCTTTTTTGCAGGTAAGCCCCCTGAAGTTCATGGGCCTCCGGTGATTCTCTAGAGCGTTGATAAATCCGACTGGTTCTGAGGCAGGCTCTGCGCGCCTCAACAATTTGTTCGCTCCACCAGATCGCTAGACCGGCTTCTTCAACCCTAGCTGATACTAGGCAGTACCAGTGGCCCAGAGGTCCTCCAGTGCAGCTGCGAAGACTCGAGTGTTAAGCGATTCGCTGCGGAACATCCTGATAGAGGGAATGTTCATACGTTGCTGGCTGGTCCCCACTCCAATCTCGCAGAGAATGTCCTCGTGTTTACTTGCCAAATAGTCCAGACCTAAGCAACAGGTGCAGGATCGCAGCAGTGCGTTGCTGACAAACGTCTATGCAGTTATGTGTGTATTTGTGTGTGTCTGTGTATGTCTCGCAAAGCATTAACAACAACAACAGCTGCGGCCACTGCTTGCCCATACATACGTATTCGGCTACAACTTCCTGTTAAATCGGCCTATCATGATAAAACTTGGCACACGGACTCATAATCACTAACTGGGTGTATTATTCGAGTTTTAATGAAAAATTCCAAGAAACACAGGAATTGTGGGAAATCACTAATTGCCATGGTGAGGAGGAAGGGAGGGAAATTAAAAAATACACATTTTCTGCGTATTCACATAAGGCATCTGGGACTAAAACTTGGTGTCCCTAGGTCTTATAGTTTCCGAAATATAGGTGATTATACAAAAGGCGTTACGGAAACCCCCCAAAAAAAATTAAAAAATAAAACAAACCCTTATAACGTACGCACATAAGGCAACTTTGTGAAAAAACTTATTTTTTTATAGTCGCTGAGATCCAGGTATTCATACGGACAGACAGACAGACAGGGCTAGAACGACTCGTCTTGTCATGCTGATCAAGAATATATATTCTTTGTGGGGTCTGCCACGCCGTCTTCTGTCTGTTACATTTTTCACACAAATTTAAAGCGGGAAAAATTATACAAAAAAACCCATAAGCATGATTAGATTAAAATAATAAATTTAAATGAAAATTCTTAAATTATACACGAATAAAAACGAACGAATTTTATTGTTATTACAATTATTACTTAGCTAGTTTTAATGACTTTATTTAGTAAGTACAGCTTATGCAAGTTTTATTTTATCTTATGTTACTACGTCACGTTAACTTGTATTCTTATAAAACGATCCGTGGTGAATTTACCAAATAAAAATCTCTCCTATTTTCAGGATCTTTACGAAAATGTGGACTATGGTATATTATATCCAAACACAAAAATTAAAGTGAAAGTCAATCCTTCAGGAGTGGTAATGCTGAGAGCTGAAGTTCAATTTTCATTTCTTTGATATATGCATAAAATATTACACATTGTTGAAAAGAAAATAAAGAAAAATGACCATTATTTTATAATTCGTAGCTAAATGACATTAAATGCACTTACCTAATTAAGAAGAATTGGTCGGTACCATAAGTACATATTGATAATAACGCAGATTCTATTACTGCCTATTATTATGGATAGATTGACCCGGTGGACCGTTGATGGCAATCCTACATGCATCCTTCATCGAGTCTAAGGTGTATGCGAGTAAGTATTTGGCTCTATAGGTATAGAATGCTAGGCAGTGGCTTACAATATGATCGGACTTTTCGCATTTCCTACATCTGTCCTCAGCTGTGATGCCCATCTTCTTGTTATGGGCAGCTACTAGGCAGTGACCTGACATTACGCCTGTGATAAGTCTGCACTCATTTCTCTGGAGTTGCAGGAGGAATTGGATGAGTTTATGGTGACTTCCCTTGCACATCGTGTGCGCTGTTCTGCAATTGGTTGTGTTTATCCACTCTTCTCCTGCCTTAGTCCATGCCTTATGCTTCCACCTGCTGTGGATCGTTTTTGGTGGTATCGGTAGGTAGTTTATATATGTCTGGGCAAGATTTATTCATTGCTTAGAAGAGTGTCTGCCATCTCATTGGTCTCAATGCCTCCTTTTTACTGACACATAGTCAAAGGCTTTGCGCAGTCTTTTTCGCAAATAGACGAGCGTGTATGTCCAGCGGAGTAACTCCGAGTAACATCTCTAAGTTACTCCGGTTGCAGTTAAGGCTGTTGCCATTGTTAAGTCTGCTTTGGGCCTTCACTCTCATGCCGACCTTACTTGACACATACACACATTTGAAATATAAATTCACATTCATTAGAGATGTAAGCGGTTAGTCCGGCCGGTTCTGGAAATCCACCACAGCAGCAGCCGTTTCCCGTACGACCGTTGGAGCTGCGAACGTATTAAGTAAGTCACTGTTTAAAATGAAACTTTATCCACAGTCAAACTAATGTGCATGTTAAATATATGTAAAGAAAGCGTATCAGTATTTCGGTTTACCAACATTGTGACACTCAGGAATATACATTGGTGACTGTGTGAATAGTGGCTTGCTATACAGCTCACAACTATTCTTTTTAACCAGATGTCGCAACCAAATTTCGAAACATTTTTGGGAGAACAAAAAGAAAACAAACTACTGCTTCAATTTCCAAATTCATTCTAAGTTTTTTCCTGAAATTCCATCAGTATTTATACAATTTTTGTCGTATTTACTAGTTTTTTCTTATGTACTAATAATTTAATATTTGACTCTTTCTTATTCTCTAAACATTGTACTTACTCTAATTTTACATTTTTTGTCTTATTCTATCCTAATCGTATCAAGTGGTTTTCCCCTCCATATGTATTGGAAGCCTTTCTTATCTAGTGCACCCTTAAACCTGTCGCTCCATATGTATATGCATTCCTTGCTACCCACAATGCGTTGGCCTGTAGCGCTGCTGCATGCGGCTTATTCTGTTACTGCTTGTGTTGCCTATGCTAATTCCTGAGCTCTTGTTCATTTTTGTGAACATCTTGCACAGGGCAAACCTTATAGTCGCTGCCTACTAAGACTATGTTCACCTTTGTGAACATGACTTTGAAATGACCAAAAACGGTGTTACAAGATCTAAACAGCTCCCCTTGAAATAATTAAAGAATTTATCGACACCGAAAGTTTTCATTAATCATTAAAATACTATATTTACATAAATATAAATTTCACAAAACTAATATACTCTTTTAGCCTTTTGCTTTTACAGCAATGTCCATCTGTCCGGCCGTCTGTATGAACGCAAGGATCTCTAAACAGTACAGTTAATTGTATTTTTTATTCACCCCTTACTCTTCCCCTATTGCTCATTTTGCGTAACACCGTTTATATAATCACCTATATCTCGGATACCTTGAGAGCTAGATACTAAATTGTAGTCCAAGATGCGTTATATGAGTTCGCAGCACATGTGTATTTCAGAGTCTTTCTCCTTCCCCCACTCTTCCGACAACTTCTACTCATGTACATAGTGCTTAAAGGCTCAACTATTTGAGTTGGTGGCTTCTTAAATTGTGTATCTTAATTTGGTTCATTGACGAACAAAATTGGCCTTGCGCGGCAAATTATACATTTAAAATAGAAATCGTTCGTGTTTTAATTGTCGGCGGTTATACAGAAGAACGTAGCTATATCTACTCGGCTCCCGTCAGCCTCGACTTTGAAACACTATGTACATATGTGTAGTAGTTAAAAATATTGAAAACAATTAGAAAAATGAATAAAAAAGTACAAGTTGGTTATTGATTTCTTTTTTGTTTAACAATTTTTATTTATGGGTGGCCAGCAGCACAAATGTACCATATTCCACGTGTGGGACACTCAAGCTAACCACATGATTGGACATGAACATTATGTTTACACATGTGAATAATTATTACAATATGAACTTAAACAGTACATATAAAATTAGAATGTATAGAACATCGATTGACAAGATTAAAAAAAGTAAAAAAAAAAAATTGGGGTTGATTTTGCCTCCCTTGGTATTAGAACCCAAAGCTGCCAAATTGCGAGAGTTTTCGAACAAGCCTAACGCGCACATGCAGGCACTACATGGAATGGGAAATTCAGAGCAGATCGCCGATTGTGTCATACGCTGCTGCAGAGATGGAAAATGAGACTCAGTCCAAATGGGAAGAAACTGTTCCGATGATGCAACAGCTTACATCCTTCTTAAGAAAGGAAAAGGTTGGAAAATATGGAACAGGCTACTGCAATGTACAATTTTGGTTCACAGGTGGGAAAGGGCAGCAAAAATACTAACAACAGTAGAAAATATTTTGTAGCTACTAATCATAGTGCGAAAGTGCGTGTATTTTGTGATGCCACACAGCTGTTCCCAATTTGCAAATCTATCGCGAGAAAGCTTTTCCTGTGTCTAAATGCTATCAATATAGAACCTGCAATATATAGAATCTGCGGAGCGAGGAATCACAGCCTTCTTCATTTGGAAGGGTCCAAGAGCGCCTGCATCTGATGCAATTGCCATCATCGTCATAATTTCAAAATGTCATGACTGCCACATCTTCGTATCTGCACGCTTCTGCCCATCTCAACTCGTATGTTGTACTTCTCACTACTGCCGTTGTAAACGTGAGGAGTCGTGCTGGAACATTAATACCATGTCGTGCTCAGACTTGTGATTGATGGATTCACGGTATCCCACGCTTCTACGACCCCCTTGGTCCTCCTTGTCCTGTAATAACAAAATCTAAAATCTTTTTGACAGTTTTCCGGCTAATTCGTGAATTGGTTTCTGCTCTAATTTTGAACGTGCGCCACCGTTCACATTTCCATGGCTGGTGCTTATTTCCAACGCAACCATTAAGTCAATTGGCCTTAGCGATGTCATCGTGAGCGCTTATGGAGCTTGTGTGCTGCGTTACTGGCGCAGGTAATGCATGAAGTGGACAAGATGAGAATATTCTGTCGCCCATACTATTGCTGGTCTGACTCATCCGTCGTATCATCTTAGCTTTGTAGCGAGTCTTCGAGCTTCATGATATTCATTTGCAATCATATAGCAGCGATTCAGGAGTTGACATCTGGAGAGACATTTTTCTAGAGGAGCTCTGCCCGGATTTTGGATTCTTCGTTGTGGGCTCATGGACCGAAATTTCTTACAGAAAGCAAAAGAAAATTGCCTGAATCCTGCTTTCCTTTACACTTGATGCCTGAACTTCGTCATAAATTGCTGCTCGAAATGGCACGTTCCACCGATGCAGGCTGCAATTTTCTAAACTCTTTTTCAAGTTGCTAACGTTTTTTTTAGGACTCGTCTACAAATTCATTCATCCTATCCGGTGCTCTGGCCTAACAATGGCTTGCCTGCATCATGGAACTCACATTCTGTTCCGTTCCATTCGGTTATCACCGCCTTCGCATAACTACAAGGCGCTACAAGGCTGAAGAACCCGCCGTTTTATTTTGCAGTCAAGCTTTTTGCCTAGCAGTTTCAATTGATTTGCGATTTATAACTCTTCGTTCACTACACTTTGGCAGACTTTGGGAAGCGGCAGTAAAGACGACAAAGCACCACTTTTACCATTCTATTACCTCTTCAATACTCGACTTCGACGAAGAGTAGCTCACTCCACGAACGTTCAGAATGGCGTACTCCATGCCTTGGAATCGCTATCACTGACGTGATTCTCGTCAAATACGAAAACTTGCCCCCACTAAACTGTCCATAGGCAACAGTCGTCGAGCTGATCTCTAGAGCTGATGGTAACCTCAAATTGGCCAAAGAGAATTTTCAGCTGCACAAAACCGACTTCGGCGATTTGGCTTCCACACACCGCCGCCAGCATTCCGCATTGCAGTCATTGCCGGCCACTACTAATCGGCCACAATATCGTATATAAACCTAGCCACATCAAACAATTAATTCCATATATATTTACACATATTGTAACCATATTTATACACATTGCACCCATATTCCACATAATACATACACACATATACATATATCCATACATATATCAACTATATCCCATCCAATAGCGTTTATATTTGCCGCGCTTTACAACATTACATGTGAATGTCTTTTGTTTACGTTCTCAAAAGTCCCTCTAAAACATAACACAAACTTTGTAACATTTCTTCACCTCGCCAACGTGAGCCAATACGTCATCGTCGATTCACCACGCGAGGCAACAGGCTTTTTTTGCTTAGAAATGTTATTCACCCAATTAAATAGTAAGCGATTTGTATTCGCTGAGAAGCGGATTTATCGGAAATTGAAGCGAATATTGGTCATGGTCACAAGGAGCAGTGTTGTTGTTTGTTATGTTAGCCCCTAGTAATGAACTAGTAGCTCAGTATTTTACTTGGTACTTGAACCATGTGAATTCGGAGAAGAAATGTGAGGTCAGAAGAGCAAGCGCCAAACCAAGACAACAAAACTTAGGTGAGCCTACCA